GGGCATTCTACGCCAGATCGACCACTTTTAAACCTGACCCCTTTCGATTTGGCTGAAACTTTTTTATTATTTTCTACCCCATTGAAAACCTCTGAGAATTTTTTCACCCAACTCAACAAAAGTTAAGAATTTTTGAAAAAAATAGCTTTTTTTAAAATAACCATAACTTTTTCAAAAATTGAGTTATCGGGACGTTTTTATTTTTCAAAATTTTTGTTTTTAAATGTACTTTTTGAAAAAAAATATAGATCAAAATTATCTGGACCTATCGTCACTGTTTTTTTTTCAATCTTTGAAAAAAAAACGAAAATTTTTCAGTTACCATTTTTGAAAATTTTATTTTTTCTTATAAAAAACTGACACTTTTTATAAATCCTCAAATTTTTTCAGTGGTATTTTTTCGTTTCCTATATTTTTTATTGATTGAAAATTTTTTTTTCAAATTTAGCTTATTTCAACCATTTTTGAAAATTTTTGAAAATGAAAAAATGTATGCCATGCAGCGATTAATGACAATTTCAAAAAGTCTTAAAAGAGGATGGTTTCAAAATGATTTATAACAACTTTTTTTTCATTCTTTGTTTGTGGATGTAATTTTCGAAAAAAAAAAATACAAAAAAATTATTCAAAACGATCTATTTTTTTCTTAACTTTTTCAAAAAAAATCAAAATTTTTTTCATGTTTCACTTTCAATTATTTCTTTCATATATTTTTTTTCGATTTTGGGATTCTATATACATTTTCAAAAATTTTCAAAATGGCATTGAGAATAAGCTAAATTTCAAAAAAAAAAAATAGAAGACAAAAACCACAAAAATTTGAGGATTTATAGAAAATGTCAGTTTTTTTTATAAGAAAAAAAAAAAATCAAAAATGGTAAATCTTGAAATTTTCGTTTTTTTTTCGAAAATTGAAAAAAAAAAACAGTGTAGGTCTAAATAATTTTGATATATTTTTTTTCAAAAAGTACATTTAAAAACAGAAATTAAAAAAAGGCTATTTTTTCAAAAATTCATCTTTTTTTGAGTTGGGTGAAAAAATTTGAAAAATTTCTCAGGTTTTCAATGGGGTAGAAAATGATAAAAAAGTTTGAGCCAAATCGAAAGGGATTAGGGTTAAAAGTGGTCGATTTGGCGTGGAATGCCCCATATACATTATTACTGGTATATTTTAATCTGACAAAAAGTGAAAGAAAAGGAATATTCATTTTAGAACCCCTTTGTAATATACAGGGTGTCAAAATTAAATTTTTATTAATAACTGCACATACTTTTACCTTACACCGACGCTTCTTTTGTCTTTTGAGAGGAAAAAAATGGAAGTGTGAATGGAGGAAACAAAATAAAGCGAAAATATGAGAGTTAAAGTAAATACATGTTTTATTAACTTTTTCTGCACGTGTTTATGGTTTGAGGATATTGAGGATAGTATTATGTCCATTGGTTATGAAAAAATGTATTTTGCACATACATATACAACCCGGTTTGAGATCGCACCATAGAGAACTCCATTTTAATTTTTTTATTTCAAATTTCATTTCAATTTTTTCAATATGAAAGTTTTCCTAAAAGAATGGTGTGAATCCCATGCCTCATTATCAAAATATCGCCGTTTTAATTTTTGCCAGCTTCCACTGATAATAAGAAGATGTCAAAAATCTTTCTAGGTTTCAAGATTTGGCTAATATGTACCAGAGAATGTTTCCAACGTTAAGAGTTGATGTTGAAAAGGAGCTGATAAGGTATAAGGGATATGCAGAGAAAATTAAACCGTACGTTCGCGATACAGTTTCCTTTCTTGACAAAGCTATTAAGGAAGGGAGAAAAGTACTTGTGGAAGGAGCTAATGCTGCTATGTTAGATATAGATTTTGGTGAGTATATTTTTAATATTCTTCATTCTTTTGATGTCAGTATATACTTTCACTTTTCGTCTAGCCTCTCGTGTCTCTTTTATTTGCAATTTAAGGAGGATCGAGTGCTACGACAGAGTGCTTCGTATTATTGAGATATATTATTTTTGCAATGCAAAACCAAATTCTGTGAATTATTTATCGATTTGTTTTTGTTTTTAATTAATGCCAAAAATTTGAATGTTTAACATAGGTTCTTATGAGAAATGCTATGATGCATACCCTTATAATCGAATTACGGGTGAAAAAATGCAAATAGTAAGACTGAAAAAATATAGACATTTACTTGAGTCATTAATTAATAGATGAGAGAAAGAAAAAAAGTAGGTTACTGTACATTTCACAGAGAAATAAATTATCAAACTTGTATTGTTGTCTGTTGTAACCCCAGTCTGCTCGTAGGCATAACACTTTAAAACTGATGCCATCCTAAAACGACTAATCGTTTCTAGGTACATACCCATATGTGACGTCTTCCAACTGCAGCGTGGGTGGTGTATGTACCGGGCTTGGCATTTCACCACATAGAATTGGTGAAGTAATTGGAGTCGTCAAAGCATATACAACTAGAGTCGGCGACGGCCCATTTCCCACCGAACTTCATGATGTAAGTCAAAAAATTTTTAGCAAGACTTGCCTTGGTTCAAAATAAGTGCTTATTAAACTTCATATATATCATTTACAATTTAAGAATTTTAAAGATATTGATCTGAAATATATAAAAGCATAGGAGATATTTCCTCTTCTGATTAGATTTAAAATAAAACCTTTTTATCGTCAATAAATAACCATTATTTTAATAGTTCATGACGTTAATACGACACCATACAAGATATATACGGTCTGTTTGTGAAACCAATCGTGGGTCATTCACATTTGTGTGAGGCAAGGAAAAGTTTTCGCCTGGAATAATTTCTCACTGAAATATTGAAACGGGGTTAATTTTGGCTGTGAAGGGAGCACACATTTTTTCTAAATTATGTCACGACAGGTGGATTTATATTATAGTTCACCTAAACTACGTAGATGTTAGAAGTCGTTGTCACTGACATTCATAAACTAAACATAGTGCTTTAAAANCAAGATATTTTATTACATGAATCGTTCAATATTAGAGGGTGGAAATTGGAGATAGGGGTGAAAATGCACCCCTTTCAGTTTTTTAATTGAAAACGAAGCAAAATTTCGGTATAGTTCATAGGAAAAATTATTTAGAGAATTGAATTTTCCATCAAAATAGCTTATTTAAAAAATTTAAAAGGAAAATTTTATGCAAAATAATCGTTAATAAACAATTTGAAAAAAAGCAAAATATTGGATTTTCTGATTTTTTTTTTACTTTTTTGCCTCTAGTTTTTCTTTTAGTAAATATAGATATAGGCATTGCTTCATAGAAAAAAAGTAGATAAAATTTCCTTCAAAACGAGGTTATAGAGTATTTTTGGTTGGAAAATTGACTGATATATGGCCGCTCAAACTTAGCCAATTTTTCAATTTTCGTCGCATTTATCCTTATACGTTTTAATTCTTATTTTTTGCAAAATAGGAAGGAAATAAGACGTTCAAGGATTTTCATCACATGACTTGTTCGAAGGGTCATTAAAAATGAAAAAACCGCGGAATGGCGTTTTTATAGGGTTGAAATTGAAGAATTTTTTTATATATAGCAGGAATACGAAGCAAAATTTCGGTAGGTATAGTTCATAGGAAAAAAAAATCCAAATTTTGATTTTTGAGGTGGGAAGTAGCTGTACATATACAGGGTGACATAGAAAAAAGTACATTGCATAGTGTCATAGAATAGGGGACACTAAAACAAGAAAAAAAGTTCCTATGAACATGGGTCCGCAA